TTCTTGAGCAGTACAACAAGATTTATTAAAGACTAGTGGAATTGTCTTTAGGGTACTGCCCACCGCAATCGAAGGTTCATAAATAACGATAACAGAGAAAAGGAAGAAAGAAAATGTCTGATATCCACCATCAGCAGCTGCTCTCCAGGAAAGCTAACTATGCTTTTGGGTCACTTTGCATTCTGGCTACTGTTTCCCTAACGACATCCAGAGGGATATTATGTCAGATTAATCTGACCCTTGACTTTTATCTCTGAATACTGGACCTGCTTTTTGTGTACTCCATCCTTGCTTAATTGCATGGGCCTCCAGGGCCCATAAGTCTCCAGCCTTCATATTCTTTGCTAGTTCTCTGATCTGTACCCATTCCCCCACCTAAGCCAACCCCTGGATATCACCCATCACTCTGTATACAATTTTCTTCCTTATTAATTTAGCTACCTGGACTGGGCATGTAGCTCAGTTGTAGAGCACTTGCCTAGCATGTGCAAGGCCCTGGGTTCGGTCCCTAGCACTGAAACCAACAAACATAAAGATAATTTGGCTACCTGGTTGTACTTAGAGAAAAAAAATTGACACAGGCACCTATCATTAGGTTTCTCAGGCAGATTTCCCCTCCTCTTAGAATACATGCTGGATCTGCCAAGGTGGATCTCACCTAGCATCTCTAAGACCCTTCTTTTTGTAGTACTTTTGCAACTCAGCCTTTTAAAATCAGACTCTGATTCTTTGAACAAACCAGTGAGGAAGCTTGTTGTGTAGGAATAACATGGATACTTGAATTATTCAGATATGAAACAATCTTAGCTCTGTTGCTTATCATTCGAATGACTTCGAGCAAATTTTGCAAGATTTTGAGCCCCAGTTTCCTCATTTATAAAATTGGCATTATGCTTGCCTAGAGGATTAAATAATATGTGTATAAAATATACACCAAAGAGCTGCCTAAGAGGCAGTTATGAAGTTTGTTAGCCTGCCAACACTGCTTTTAGCTCTTCTCATTCACATGACTGTTTAGTCAAAAATGTTTCTAGTCTGGGTTTTTTGGGTCCAGTTAGCCTTCCAAACCCAGAACTAGCATATTTAAATATTCCAATGCAGGTTCAGTTAGTTATAGAATTTGTAGAGAGCAACTTGTTTGTTTGAGGGTAGATAATGCTGTGTAGAGCCTGTTTGATTCCAGAGCACTTCTCTGTTGGAGCGGCTTCTGACCAGCCTTTCATGACTTGATGAAAATGTCTAATTATAGCTAGTTTCATGGGATATGGCATGTCCCATAGGACCCCATGCTCAGAAGGACCCCAAGCTTGGTTTAATACTCTGCTGTTGCCATCTTGAAATTACTAATAGTTTTAACTTCGAACTTGTGTTTTGTAAATGAAATCTGCCGGGACCAGGCTGAGAATGTGCTGAGGAGGTGCCTGCAGTATGCCTGTCGGCCTTCCCTGCTGCCATTTGCAAATGGCATTAGTGACACTCTGTGGCCAACAGAATCCCAGGCCGATCCAGCTTGCGTGGGAGTTCAAGGAGCCTCAAAACTATTCTTTGTGGAATGTGGATGATTGACAGCCCAGGGAAGTCGCACTTTCCATTTGAACTAGAACTAGCTCACCACAGAGCAAGAAGGACATGGTATTCTGGAAAACAATGAAAGATCAATTTCCTGTCCCTTTTTATGTTGCCTCTCTGCATTGGTTAATTGCTTATGATGAAAATACACAGAAGGAAAACACGGCAACCTGGAGTGGCTTTGCCTTTCAGTTCTTACTCATCAGAAAACTAAAGGCAGAAAGTGCTCATAGCTGTAGCTCAGTGGCAGAGTGCTTGCCTAGCACGTGTGAGGCAGTGGGTTCGATCCTCAGCACCACCTAAAAAATTAACAAATAAAATAAAGACATTCTGTTCGACTACAACAAAAAAAATATTTTAAAAAAGTCTGGTGGGGGGAATAGGAAATATAATTTAAAAAGAAAAATGTTTCTTAACATCTTAAAGAAATGGAATATAAACAGTTGAGTATTTTTTTTTTAAAATCTGCAGCATTTCTACCTTTCTGATACGAACAAAATGCATTTTGTCTGTACAAAGTATAAAATAAGAACAAATTTTGGTGATTCCACTGCTTTGGTCTCTGTGTGAGGTGCCCTCCCAAAGCTCCGGTGTTGATGCAGTAATATTCAGAGGTGACAGGACTGGATTATGAGAGCTGTAACCTAATCAGTCCCTTCTAGTTGGAGTGGATTAACTAGGTGGTTACCTGTAGGCAGTTCACTGGGGGCAGGGCTGGAAGAGGTATGTCATGGGGGCATGTCCTGGAAAGGTACATCTTCACTGTGGCTCCCCGCCCCCTGCTTCCTGGCCAGTCATGAATGGAGCAATGCCCTTCCACCATGCCCTTCCACCATGGGTCTCTAAAACCAAGAGCCAAAATAAACTTTTCTTCCTCTAAATTGTTCTTGTCAGGTTTTGGTCAAAGCAACTAGCACATCTAACACCACTAACACAAAGCTGAGTAACCCATCTACATATTAATTAAAAGCTCTTGTATTGGCAGGTAAAATTGGCATTGCAGGAACATTCGTGCTGATGACTTATAATTTTATTTTTTCTTTTCATAGGATGACATTAGATAGGAAATAAAAGGATTAGACAAGTCAAGGGAAGGTCTATGAAAGAAAAGGAAAAAGCTTCATATTTTATTACTTTTGTGAGTGTATAGTACTGGAACTAGAGCCTCGTACCCCAAGGCTGCATTCTCCACCCTTTCTATTTTTTTTATTTTGAGATAGGGTTTCACTAGGTTGACCTCAAACTTGGGTCCAAGTAGCTGTTATTACAGGCATGTACCACCAGGCCCTGTTATATTTTAGTGCCTTCAATGGTACATTTATTTTCTTGCCTTTTAAACGAGGGAGTTTGCATTTTAATTTCACACCAGGCCCCATAAATTACATAACCAGTTTTGCATCTAATTTTGTTATCTTCTCTGTAGTCCCTGGGCAGCTTCCTGGGAGGAATTGTGGCTTCTTGAAAGGAGGACCCTGTGCAGGTGAGCCAATCTCCTTTTCTAATGAAAATCCTAATTTTTAAACCAGAAAATAATAGAAGCCCGTGGGTTTGAGGCTTTCCACCAAACCCTCCAGCTTATGTAAATGTTTGCGGTATTATTTTTCCATGCCTCTGGGAAGTCCGATGACCCAACACACGTTTGCATAAACATGAATGATATATTTATCTTGGGGTTCCTCTTTCTGTGGCTCTTGAACCGCCGTTTGGGTGGGAGCTGTTTTTATATCTTACCTCAAGTTCATACTTGAGTTTAGAGATTTTATTAAACAGGACCAGCAAGAGTTGGGATGGAGTTTCTGGGTACAGAGGAAGGTCGTGATAAAAGGGGACCATGAAACCTAGGAACTAAAAGGATCATAGAAATTATACAGGGAAACTTTCTAACTTGGCTCAAGAGTAAAAGGCAAGGAATCGTCAGAAGCATCCGAAAGTCTTTAAAAATTTCTCATGTGAAAGTTAGAGAGAGAAAAGGAATTAAATAAAAGGGGATCTCACAAAAACAGAAGTGAGATAACCGAGCAGAGAAAAGGGATCTAGAGGAAGGTTGAGGGTGGAAACGGGGAAGTACTGCGGGACAAAAGTCTACCAAGGTGTGTTACATCTGGGTACAAGTACAACGCAAGGAATCTCGATTTTGTATGTGATTATAATGCACCCATTAAAATTATAATAATAGTTAGGGCGCAGAGTGCATTCCACTAATCCCAGTGACTCGGGAGGCTGAGGCGGGAGGATTGCAAGTTTAAAGCCAGCCTCAGCAACTTAGCGAGGCCCTAAGCAACTTAGTGAGATCCTGTCTCTAAATTTAAAAAAATAAAATAAAATAAAAAGAGCTGGGTATGTGGCTCAGTGGTTAAGTATCCCTGGGTTGGTACAAAAAAAAAAAAAAAAGAAAAACTAATAGAAAGGGATCAGTAAAGAAAGTGAATCAAGGAAGAAAGGAGGAGAGGGAAATAGAAAGGGGGAATGAAATTGATCAAACGACAGTAGGTGCATGTACAAATACAGCATAATAAACCCCACTGTTATGTATAATATTATGTACAAAGCACCAATAAAAAAAATGAGGCCACAAAGTAACGTGCCGGGTGAAAGAAAGCTGAAGGGCATCTCAAAATTGTTGTGGGAACCGACTGGGAAAATCTGAACCAAGCGCGAGTGCAGGGTGGGCAGTGGGTCTGGATTCTGCTTGTCTCTTTGTGTTCCCTCATTTCCCTGGTCCCTCGAGACCTAGTCCAGGGAGTCATTCTAAACCCCCTCTTTCACCTCCAATCAACCAACTGCTTTTACTGAGTTTCCCACAAAACTAGTTTTGCACCCGACCTTTCTAACAAGTCTCTGGCTCTGGTCCCCTTCAGCTAACCTGATGATAGTGATCTCTCCCTGTCACCAGCAGGTCTACCCACCCCCTTACAGTTATCTTTTACACAGCCACCAGGAGGGCCTGTCTGAAGGGCTAATCTGAATGTTGATTGACTTTAAAACTCCAGTGGCCCTGGGTACTCAGAAGCCAAGGTCCTGAGTGCAGCAGTATATTATGCAACTCTGCTACTCAACTGCACTGTCCTGAACACATTTTGTTCTTTTATGCCTTGATGCATTATCTATTTCACACATGTATTAAATACTATGTTCCAGGCACTGTTCTTAAAATTTCATGTGTTTCTGAGTTCACATCAATTAAATTTCTATAGTTCTTTCCATTTTTTCTGAGCTAGAAAGTAGGTCAGAATTTGAGTAACTTCAGCAAGGTCACATAGCCACTAACCAAGATTGTAGAGCTACTAACTGTGACCTAGCTTTGAACTCATATTTTCCTGTCTCCACACGTCAGTGATTTCTGTGTCTGCTGCCTCCCCCAGGAAAATGTCCTTGTGTATTTCCCTTGGCTTAATGTGGCAACAACTGACTAACTAGGGTGCTGATCATATCTGTACCTTCTGAGTTAGGCAGGGAGCTGTGGCTAAGTTCTGGCAGAGGGAATGTGGGAGGAAGGAATGCATACCATTTTCAGGGCTGACCTGTAAAGTCCACACACTCTTTCCTTTTACAGAGAATTTGGAACCCTGAACAGAGTGACTCTGTGAGATGCAAGGACCTGGGTTCCAAGATGACGGTATGGAGCAGAACCATCCCCTTCAGCCTGGATGCAAAGGTTGGTATTTTGTTTTAGAGAGCTCCTGAGATGTCTGAGGTCATCAGTTATGACTATTAATGTTATTTTCCCTAAATCACAGGCTAAGTACACACTAATGTTACTTCTATGTTATGTGAAAGTTTTTTTTAAAAAATGTATCTATCTCTTTCAGTACATTACTTTGGAAACTTCTTAAGAAGAGACACTTTTTCTGACCAATCTTTGTGTTTGATACATACTAAGTGCTCAATAAATATTTGTTGAGTTACAAAATGTGAGTGCGATAATAGTAATACTATCAATTCACATGTATTGAGTACTTATATGAGAGAAGTTCACTATCAGGCACTTGCATTTATTGCTTTATATAATCCTCATAATTCACAAATGTTACCTAAGTGCTTGCTATGTGTTGGCTTCTGAGAAGATGCGCTTGGAATACGTTAGGGAACAAAACAGATCAAAGTCCCTTTCCTTTTAGAGCACCAATTGTTGGTGGAGAAATCAGATAAAGAAGAAAAAAATAGAATATCAGAAGTTGAAATGTACTTGAAGAAATATGAATATGGATGAGAGGTATTTAGTTGAGCAGGTTGCTAACTAAACAGGAGGTCACAGAAGACCTCATAGAAAAGGAACAGTAAGTGTGAAAGCCTGAATGGGGCACGTTTCCCCCAAGAACTCCAGGAGGCAGACGTGACCTTCATTTTGCAGAGAAGGAAATGAAACCCAGAAAATTAACCTGTAACTTGTCTAAGAGCGTAAAGCGAACAAGCAACACGTTACGGACTTGGAATATCTTGACTTGAAAAACTCCTGCTCATTGAGAGGTTCATGTTAAATGAAATAAGCAAGACTCTGCAAAGTGAAGCGTTATAGGTTTTCTCTCATATGTGGGAGTCAGAAAAAGGGAACAAGGGGAATCTCATAAAAATCTAAGGGAGATCAGAAGGCAGAGGAAAGTCATCGCAGGAGGCAGGAGGGGATAACTACGGGAGATCCTGGGGAGTGAAATTAATCAGATTATATTATGTGGAGGAGTGCATATGTTACAATGAATCTCACTGTCATGGACCAATAAAGATTGTAAAAACCAGTACTAGCATTCAGAATCTTTTCCAAGTATATTGATTTATTTATCCTCAGAGTTCTGTTCTTCCATCCTTGGTATTTTATTCTTAGCAAAATATCCAGATTTTTGCTGCTATAAGTTAGCAAATTATTTTTTCTTTCTATGTTGATTTAACCCCTTTTCTCTTAGGTTTTACTATGTAATTGGCTCTCTACAGCAGGTTGGAAAAGTGCTTTCAAAGAAAATTAAGTTGTTGTTGCCATTTTATCAAGAAAGAAACCCTACATTTGAAAGGCCTCTGGGTGACATTTGGTTGCCCTGTTCAGTCTCAACAATTGAATAAAACTACTGTCTCTGAGTGGGCTCTTGAGCAAACAAGGGGTCTTTAGCTTGTCTAGGCTACTGTGCAGCCGGCTCTGTTCTCGGCTTTTATAATCTAGCATATTGAAAAGACCCAGGAGTGCAGTGGCTATTCAGGATGTTGTGCAAAGTCTGCAGCAAGCTTTGAGAGGAGACCCTATAGTTTTGAAGCAAAACCGTGCCCTCTTAAAATAACTGTCTTTATTTTGTTTAAAAAAAAAAAGAAAGCTATTGGCTAGAATTGGGTTGTCATGATCACTGAATACTTCACCATGATTCACCAGAGATCTGACTAGCTCATTTCAAACTGGAAGTTTCTTATCTAAAAACCAAAAAGTCACACATGCTCAAGATCATTCCTTCCTTACGTGGACACAATGGGCAGGGTTCTGACATGACCTGAAAGCAACAGTAAGTTGAATAAACAATGACTGGCTCATATTGTGCTGCTCTCTAACTCCACAACCATGGCTTGGTGGTAAATTTCCCATGACCAGTTGACAGAGGGAAAAATGTCTATCCTGGTTAGATGTGCCAGGATCAGCTGGAGGTCACCATGCAGCTCTGTGGCCTCATGCAAGGAGTCCCTGGAGGACTGTGGGGATGAGGGATGAGTCAATAAACCCTGGGGGAGGAAAGGAACAAAGAGAGGAGACCCCCACTCTTGCAGCAGAAGTGAGAGTTGCCTCAGGGGTCGAATCAGGGAGTGACAAAGGAGGTGGCATTCTGGGCATAGAGATTTTAACTTTTTATTGTGGAAAATTAAAAACACAAAAAGAATCGAAGAGTCTAAGCAGGAATAATAATAGTATAAACCCCACTTCCTCCCCCACACAAGGAACCCATCACTCAGCTTCAAAGATGGAGCACGCATGAGGGGTCCGATATCCCTGCCCTCTTCTCCCCACCCTCCCCCATCGATTCCTTCAAGTCAAATCTATCATTTAATCCTCTTCTTTAGTGTGCATTGAATGCTAACACCTTTCATTCAGTACTTCAACATAAGCTCTAAAAACGAGTGCCTTTTTGTTTTTATAAGAATATAACCATACTATCACTTCTATCCAAAACACATGAATTTCTTAGTATTAGCATCCAATTTTCTCTTAATATTTCATATGTGGTTTTTTTTTTTTTTCCCTTTCTTCCCTGGATTCGTTTGAATCAGGTTCCAAACAGGGCCTGCTCATTCTTTCTGGTTGATAGGTCTCGAGTACTATTTAATTTATGTCTTTCTCCCTTTTCTCTTTATCTTGCTCTTCTTTTTCTCCTGTTCTCTCTTTTCTTCCTCCCTCCCTCCCTTCCCATTTATTAGTGAGGAAACCAGGTCATTGGTCCTGTAGAATTTTCCCACAGTTTGCATTTTGTTGGTTGCAATCCCCTGATGCTATTCTAACCCATTCCTTTGTTTCATGTATTTCCTATAAACTAGTAATTAGGTCTAAAGACTTGATGGGATTCAGTTTTCTTTTTTTTTTTGGTGCTGGGGATCCAACCCAGGTCCTTGTGCATGAGACATGAGAGGCCAGCCCTCTACCAACTGAGCTACATCCCCAACCCTGGGATTCAGTTTTGATATTTGGGGCATCAGTACTCCATAGGTGGTACCGTACTGTATTTTTCCACCAGAAGCCACTTGTTGTTTGGCTGTGGTTTTTCTCTTTCATGTTAACCAGTAGGGGCAGCATGAAACATCATGAGAGATAGTGATTTCCTATTTCTTTCATCGTTTTCTTATTTTTTGGAAGAATTATTCTCTCAGTAACTATTTGATAACTCAAAGACAATACTCTTACAAGAAAGACAGCCCTATTTTCACTTGAGGAGGACAGGGTGTTTAGAGACTATAACCTTTGCAAGGAGTGCTTATCGCTGTTTAACTGATGATTATGTCTTTTCAGTGGATGAACCTAGAAGTGCACATTTTTTTAAAATGTGGAGTTTATCATGAATTTATACTGATATTTCAAATTCAAATTTAGGTTTGCAAAATTGCTTTTTAATTTTCTATTATATCTCTTTTTCTCTAATATTATAAGGTTGTGTTCCAAGTGATAGTAACATAAATCCCTTTTGCTTTGGGAAGTTTAGCCTAAAGCCTGCTTCTTTAGCTCTCCTGAAGATTTTGTAAGTGTTTAAAATCTTGGGAAAAAAAATCCTTTCTCCATAAACCATTTGAAGTGGATCTTTTCATCTTCACCTGAATCCTGACAGAGCAAACTGCAGGCAGGTGGGGAGGGGCTGTTCAGGTCTCTGTAGTACAACTGCTCACAGCTACACCAAAGGATGTCAAGGGTTCTCCGCTGAAGGAATCACAAAGGTATTAAAAGGAGAACCACATTGCTCAGTCTTTTCTATCTTTGTACAAGTCCTAATTCACTAAAAAGTATGTTTCTATTTTTCAAAAGCATTCTTTCTCTCTCTCTCTCCTTATTCTCCTGCCCTAAATCAGATTCTGGAGAACACATTAGATCCGGCCCAGAGCAAGTGAACAGAGTCTTCTTCTAGCTCTGGACAAGAACCCAGTCATTTTAGCAAAGGCTGCCAGAGGTCATCCCATCACTGCTTCAGGGTGGATAATGAGGCGTCTTGGGGGTGAGTGCATACGGTGTAAGTGTCAGAAAGCTGCATCTGTTGCTTGCTCCGAGGGCCTGGAGGGTCAAGTCACATGAGTACGATATTTTCATAATATTCTTCTGCATCTTCGTCATCGGAGCCGACTTTTCCATCTGAGTCAACTGGCAGCTGTGTCTTCACCTCAGAGTAGACTATCAAGGCATGCTGGGACAGAAAGAAGACAGCGGAGGAACTTGAAAGGGTGAGAAGGAAAGGGCTGGAGGTGGTGGTGACAGAGGGAAATGAGGCTCACCTTGTCCTCTGGAGGCATCCAGGGGGTGTTACCTGTGGAGGACAAGGGAACCATAAGAATTCACTTAGAGCCCAGTCTGCCAACGTATTTCCTAGATCGGGGGCGGGGGGGGGTCACTGGGCCCTCTCCATCAATGTCGTGTTTTCCCCACCCCAACATATCTTTTGATTTTCTATTTTACCTTTTTCTTTCTTTCTTTTCTTATTGGCTCATATCCTATTAGTTATGCATAGCATTAGGTGTTTTACCATTTCTTTTTTTAATTTACCATTTCTCAACTAAGCCCTCTGCAAGTTCTTCTCAAGCTTCATTGATCTGTAAAACTCTCCCTCATCACATGAAGAAACTTCACTTCTTCTTCTACCAGATGTTGAGAGAATATTTTTCTCCTTGTTTAATTCGTTGTACTTTTAATTTAGAGTACATCCACCACACTGTCCTGGATGGTTTGGCAAGTTCTCATAAAACTCTCTATATGTGTTGCCCGGTGAGGAAAACTCTCACGTTATCATGTTCTAGTTCTTGATTTTATTGCTATATTTTTTTTTAGAGGTGGAGTCACAGAGAAAGAAAGTTTAGCAGATGTGATTTCTTGGTTCACGAATATTGGAATTTAAGAGTCTCAGGGGAAAAAAAGTAGAATCGTTAAAGCACCATAATAATTTTATGGAGAACTAGAACATGAAAAGGAGATATATCTTGGGGCACCTGAAGTTTCTGTTTCACCATGTTCCTACCCATACACTTTTGGAATTACAGACATTGTTAGTGAAGTGATAAAAAGTGTCCATTCCTCCTGCAAATGGACAGAGCTTTGCTTATGATCTCAGGGCCTTTATGAAAACCTGAAGGAACAAGTGAAAAGGGTTTTCTACAGCTCATTAATACATCAAGTGCCTGAAATATAACCAATCCATTAACAAAAATGGTGTTTGGGCCAATGTGTTAAGGATACAGTGGAAAGATGATAGAGGAAAAACTGTATAAGACAGATGCACTCAACCAACCCAAACAAATGATTAGTGGTTCTGATTCTACTATTCAGAGGGTCCTGGCCAATGGCTGGCTCAGGGAGCAAAGAGACAAAGCAGATGATCAGGTGATACATTATTGGTCAAGCAGGAATCGGTTGTACAAGCAGCAAATATTAAATAAAGACAGAAGACTTTGTCTTAGCTTTGTGTTTTACAGGCTTTGTGACCTTGGGAAAGGACTTAACCACTACTTCATTTGCAAAACAGGCTCAGTGTTAGATTATGAATGAAATTCCCACAAGGCACAGAGATACTAGAGGTTTACATTCTCAGATGAGATGCCATATTTAGATTTATTAAAAAATAATAGTTTGTTTCTTTGACTCTAAGAGTCTGGGTTAATCAATCAAATTAAGGAAATATGGAGAGAGATTTAAAAAAAAAAGATTTGTTGAACAGATTTCTTTAGAAGGAGAGATCGGTTTCTGTGCAATGAGTTTCTACCCAGAAGTTTTATTGGGAGTGTGTGCATGCGTGTGTGCGTGCGTGTGTGTGTGTGTGTGTGTGTGTTTAGGGAATGGGGAAATGATGCTTTATAAGCCCCCAGCGTGGTGAAGGAGCCTTCAGAGATTCATCTTAGAAACTGAAAAGTGATTTCCCTGATTTGGAAAATAAATAGCGTATACCAAAAAAAAAAAAAACAACAACCAAAAAACCCCAAAGTGGACTACAGGTTACAACTGACCACAGTAATGTCTAACAGCAGGTCTCCTCTCATTTGAGGGCCTTGAAATGGGATCTGAATGAGATTCAAGGAAATGAAGAAGGACTGCTCATTCTGGCCAAAAGGTACTAAAAGGACTGGATTTACCTTTCCATTTTCAACCACCAGAAAACAAACAAACAGATAATGCAATGTTTTTCAGGCATTTGACAACAGGCAGTCCAGGACCGACCAGGAGCCCTAAAAGAAAGCCAGTAGACAGCGGAGCCTTGCAGTTGCACAGTCTTGCCACCTGGGGGCAGCTTCTACACCGCAGCACAGGTTGGAGAGTCCTAATAGAGGCTGGTCTGCTCTCTGATTTCAAGTGACAGAGACCAACAGTCCTGTTAAACTTAGTAGCTAGAATTTCTAGGACAGAGTACTAGAGAGACAACAGCAAGGCAGATCAAAAGCTCCAGAGATCTCCAGACAGGTATGTAGCCTCAAGTCTTTGGCTGAATATTAATACTACATATGAGAGAGGAAACTATCTTGGGTCAGGTAAGAACCATCGGAAAGGAACGGGCAAAATAACCCCAGATGCTCGTGCAGATCTCGTGATAGATGGGGCAACTGGTGTAGAATCCTCAGAAATGTTGCTTTACTATTAGGGCTAGATTAGCCTTCCTCTAAAGGTTGCTTGGGACCTGCCATAATGAAGCTTAAAAGCAAGCCTTGAGACCGCATGACCAATGTGATTCTGCAACCTGTGCACTCAGAAAAATGAGAAATTATACCCCATCTGAGTCAAATGTATGATATGTCAAGATCATTGTACTGTCATGTGTAACTAATTAAAACAATTTTAAAAAAAGCAAGCCTTGAAAGGATCCAGTTGGTACCAAGTAACTTAACTTCATCCAGAACAAAATTCCAAGTTCAATAGTAAATTAAGGAATAGTATCTATCATCATCTATGGAGGGGGGAGGGAGGGAGGAAGGGAGGGAGAGAGGGAGAGAGGGAGAGAGGGAGAGAGGGAGAGAGAGGGAGAGAGGGAGAGAGAGGGAGAGAAAGAGAGAGAGAGAGAGAGAGAGAGAGAGAGACTCCTACTTACAATCATTTGACCTTACAATTGTGCAAAAACTGTAGGAGAAACCATACTTCAGATTTAAAATTTTTACCTTTTCCTGGGCTAGTGCTGGGTGGTATGATACTCTCTTGTCAGCACTGGGAATTGAACCCAGAGCCTTATGCATGCTAGGCAAACACTCTTCCACTGAGCCAAGACAGTATCACAGGATGGTAAACAATGGGTACTTTATGGTGTACCATAGAATGATTGCTAAACTTGAGGTTTGGTAGGGTAATATTAAATAGACTTTCAACTTAAAATATTCTCTATTTATGACAGGCTTATTGGGACATAACTCCATTGTAAATTTGTATCCAATATTTTATATATAAATGTTCTCAACATAATACCTATCATAGTAGTATGTATGTTGCAAATATTCATTCATTCAGACCTATAGGCAACCTTAGTACACAAACCATCAAGATCACAATATTTATCAGAAGGATGCTTAATTTTTGTTCTGATCATCAGCAAAAATGATGTATTTTTAAATTTTTTTTTCAGTTGTCCATGGACCTTTGTTTTATTTATTCATTTTTATGTGGTGCTGAGAATCGAAACCAGTACCTCACAGATGCTAGGCAAGTGCTCTGCCACTGAGCCACAACCTCATCTATAGTATGTATTTTTTCATGTCTATCTTCCATCTTTAGAATCTAAGCTCCACACTGTGGGGAATTGTTTGCTGAGTGACTTTCCACACTTATAATAGCACCTAGCACATGGGAGATACTCAATAAATATTTGCTGAATGAATGAGTATAGTTTGTAGCTATAATCGTTCCAAAACATACCTTCTCCTTCTTCTCCCAGGTCAATAGTCTGGATCTCAGCATATACCAAATCTCCTTCTTTGGGGTGCATTGGAAAGAAAAGATGACATTACCAGTCTGTCTCTGTCTGTTATGTTCTGCAGATGCCTCTTCCCAAGCATTCCCTCCACTCTCTTTAGACACACATGAAGTGATTATTCTTTGGGAATATCTGACTCCAGAGTACTGTAGGGAGATGAGCGGCATTTCCCAGGGGGCTCAAAGCGATTTATCTTTCCCTGGTGGAGTCTTAGGAGCAGTTTCTTATAGGGGAAACCTCACCATTGTCACAGGAGATGTGTGGTTCCACCTGGGCAGAGCAGATGTAATGAAAGGACTGTCCCAGGCTGGGGGTGAGAGGACTCCTATGAGACAGAAATACATGATAATCCTTGGAGCATTCCAACATGCCTGAGGGTGAGATGTTTAGGCAGAGGTGGTGGAGAAAGTGGGTTGGAGGGAAGTCAGCAGTCCGTAGGGAACTGGGAACCCTGAAGAGTTTAATTGAAACTTCAGTGGGTCTATATTAAGTTGGATTGTTGTTTTGAAAGAAACTGGGGAGCTTTGGTATGGAAGGCTACCTTGGGACAAGACCAAAGTCTTTGACATCACAGTAACAATCATTGTCTCATCGACAGGATGGATTAAAAACTGGTCTTCTCCTCAGGAAGTAGTGGCCAAATGTCTTCACATTGTTATGTTGGGAAATTTAAGAAGGAATTGACATGATACACGCTCCAGTTCCTGGGTACAACCTAAGACTGAGATACTGACAGAAGAGGACCATATTTCCCAAACTGAAATTAAGAACACCGTCTAATTAATATATTTGTATGTCTTGGAGAAAAATAAGATTAATAAAAGCATATACCTCCAGAAAATCTAGAACATTTATAAAAAATCTAGAATCTAACCCTTGGACATATATTTAATAACGTATGGTCTAACTCTGGAGCTATTGGTACAGAAGTATTTTGTACCCACCCAAGAAAATCTATAACCTTTGGTATCATCCTTTTAAATGAAGGTGCCAATTTCAAATAAGAAACCAATCCAAATATACATAAAATCTATAATAATAACTTTTAGCTGACAGAATGGCTTTAGGAAGCTCATTTTTGACTGATTCAAGGAACATGAAAATGGAAGCATTTAGCCACAAGGTCTAAGAAAAATAACTTGACCTAATTTTGCAACCACACAGTTTTGCATATTGTGTACTTGGGAAGCAAAAGAGGCACTTGCAGAAGCTGAGGTCTCACCTGGTTTCAGCTGTCCAGAAACCACCTCCTGCAAAATAAAGCAAAGGCACATTCATGTCAGCAGAGGGAGCTCTTTCTCAAAGACTTCACATACATGAGCTACTGCAGGGCGGTGGGTGGGGGGAGGTGTGTGGGGGGGAGGTGTGTGGGGGGGAGGTGTGTGGGGAGGGGGGGAGGTGAGGGGGTGTGGGGGAGGGGGAGGGGAGGTGTGTAGGGGGGACCATTTAAACACCAGCCAAAGGTTCTCACTGAGTTGCTTAGAGCCTCGCTAAGTTGCCAAGGCTGGCTTTGAACTCAGGATCCTCTTGCATCAGCCTCCTTAGTCACTGTGGGATTACAGTCATGTGCAACCAAGACCAACTCATTTGATTCTTTATTTAAAAAATTTTAAGAGGTGGAGGGAAGATGGCGGCGAGGGGAGTGCATTACCCCCGTGTGCTGCTTCACTGTGTGGGAGTATGACAAGTCAGGACGGCTAAAGGATATCTTGTTAGGAATTTCCAGCAATAGTGGGGTGCGCCGGAACCTGGAGGAAGGATTTCCATCGCATGAGGATCGGCTACGGGGACTCAAACGCGAGAGGTTTGTCGCACGGAGGGTAACACTGCTTATTCAGCAAATCGCCCCGCGGCTAGAGTCTGCAAGGCGCGCTGGGATAGAGACGCAGGGTTACAGCGCTGCAGTTTCTGCCAGACGCGCAAGCACCGCACTCAGGGCTGAATTCTGGGTTCGAGACGGGGAAGGAAGCGGTCCATCTCGGTTCTCCACACCGGTCAGACCACAGAGGAGGCCAGCAGCCACCATGTTGGTAAACTGACGTCACCACACCTGTTTTTGACTGACCGCAGCTCATTCAGCCATAGAACAGGTAATTTCAGGCTGCAATTCGCCTGCGGCTTGCAGACAGATTGCTAGGGTTCAGCGCCTGGGGGCTTCTTAAAATCTGATCTTATCGGAGTGAACACGGAGCGCGGGGCGGCCGAGTCCCGGCTCCCGGAACCGTCCCGGAACCGCCCTGGCTCCGGGCTGCGGAGCCTGCGGAGGCTGCGTCTTGGACCCTGCTAATATCAGAGCAAACACGAAACACCAAGAAGCCGAATTCCAGCTCCCGGAACTGAGCCCGCGGGGACTGCTTCTTGGAGCTTACACTTATAGGAGCTTACACCGAGCACAGACTCCCGGAACCGTCCCGGAACCGCCCTGGCTCAGGGCTGCGGAGCCCGCGGAGGCTGCTTCTTGGACCCTGCTACTATCAGAGCATACACCAAACACTAAGCGGCCGAATTCCGGCTCCCGGAACTGAGCCCGCGGGGGCTGCTTCTTGGAGCCTACACTTATAGGAGCTTACACCGAGCACGGAGCGGCCGAGTTCCGGCTCCCGGAACTTCCCTGGACCGGGGCTAGGAGCCCGCGGAAACTGTGTCTCGGTCCGGGTCCTGCTGAGGGCAGGTCAGGACTCACCCATTGCTTGGGTTGCCTGGCAAGGGGAACGAAATGCTGCCATTCGCATAGGATACCAACATGGCAGAGATCTGATGTCAGCAGAAAGCGGTGGAGGAGAGATCTTCATCAATACCAGCGGTGACATAAGCAGTTGGTCTCCTGGTAAGGGGGGTGAGGCTCAGTCACCCGAGTCTCCTCAATTTGTCCTCAAGCCAGAGGGAAGGAGCCGGGCCGCCGCCAGCCCCCGGAGCAGGCCCAGCGGCTCGCCAGCGTGGTGACCGCGTGACCCCAATTGGAGAGGGGGCGGAGCGGAGCCGCCACCCACACCCGCCAGGTGGGCAGACCCACGACCCAGTAGTACATGGGCGTGGTAGGAGGGGCAGGGCAGAGCCGCCCTTCGCGCTTGCAAGGTAAACAGACCTGTGACAGCCTGGCGGGTCAGGCCCAGTGGCCTGCCAGTGTGGTACACACGTCACCCCAACTCGAGTAGGGGCAGAGCAGATCCTTATCCCACGCCCGGATCAGGCCCTGCCGGTGTGGTGGTCACGTGACCCCAATTGGAGTGGGGGTGGAGCGGAACCGCCACCCGTGCCCGCAGGGTGAGCAGACCAGTGATCAACCTGCAGATCAGGCCCAGGGGTCCGCAGGCGTGGTAGGAGGGGCAGGGCAGATCCGCCGCCCGCGCCTTCAAGGTAGGCAGACCTACAACAGACCGGCGGATCAGGCCCAGGAGCCTGCCGGCGGGGTACAAACACCACCCTAATTGGAGTAGTGACAGAGCAGAGTCGCCTCCCTTGCCAGGAACAGACCCAGCATCCTGCAGGCGGGGTAGTCACGACACCCCAGTTGGAGTAGGGGCAAAGCAGAGCCTCCACTCGTGCCCGAAAGGTGGGCAGATCTGCGACCGACCAGCAGGTCAGGCCCAGTGGCCTGCTGGTACGACAGACACGTCACCCCAATTGGAGTAGGGGCAGAACAGAGCCGCCACCAGCTCCCAGAACAGGCCCAGTGACCTGCCGGCGTGGTAGCCACGACACCCCAATTGGAATAAGGAGAGAGCAGAGCCGCCGCCCGCACCTGCAGGAAAGATACGCAAGCAGTATGAAAAGACAAGGAAAGAAAGGACCACAAGCAATGCAGGTCAACGCAACTTTAGAAGAGGGAACAGCTGCAGCAGATGGAATGTCAGATAAAGAATTCAGGATATACATGCTTCAGATGATCTGGAGTATCAAGGAAGACATTAAACAGCAAAATCAGACAATGAAAGATCACTTCGACAACGAATTACGCAAACAAATCCAGGAAGCAAAGGATCAACTATACAGGGAGATAGAGGTTATAAAAAACAAGCAATCAGAAATCCTAGAAATGCAGGAAGCAATAAACCAACTTAAAAACTCAATGGAGAATACTACCAACAGAGTAGAACACTTAGAAGATAGAACATCAGACAATGAAGACAAAGTATTTCAACTGGAAAAGAACATAGACAGCTCAGCAAGACTGTTAAGAAACCATGAGCAGAACATCCAAGAAATATGGGATAACATTAAGAGACCAAACTTAAGAGTCATTGGGATACAGGAAGGTACAGAGCTCCAAACCAAAGGAATGAGCAGTCTATTCAATGAAATAATACAAGAAAACTTCCCAGACTTGAAGAATGAGACAGAATCCCAAATCCTAGAAGCCTACAGGACGCCGAATGTGCAAAATCGTAAGAGATCCACACCTAGACACATTATAATGAAGATGCCCAACATACAGAATAAGGAGAGAATTTTAAAAGCTACAAGAGAAAGGAAGCAGATTACATTTAGGGGCAAGCCAATCAGGATAACAGCTGATCTTTCAACACAGACTCTGAAAGCTAGAAGATCCTGGAATAACATATTTCAAACACTGAAAGATAATGGGTTCCAACCAAGAATTGTGTATCCAGCGAAATTAAGCTTCAGGATGGAGAATGAAATTAAAACCTTCCACGATAAACAAAAGTTTAAAGAATTCGCAGCTAGAAAACCATCCCTTCAAAACATCCTAGCCAAAGTATTACAGGAAGAGGAAATGGAAAATAACAATGAAAACCAACAGTGGGAGGTAGGACAGTAAAGGGGGGGGGAAACAATCAAAGAGGAAAACAAACAATGTTTAGTAACAGAAATAAACAAATATGGCTGGAAGAACAACCCATATCTCAATAATAACCCTAAATGTTAATGGCTTAAACTCACCAATTAAGAGACACAGGCTAGTAGAATGGATCACAAAACAAGACCCAACAATATGCTGCCTACAGGAGACGCATTTGATAGGAAAAGACATACATAGGCTGAAGGTGAAAGGTTGGGAAAAATCATATCACTCATATGGACTTCGGAAACAAGCAGGCGTGTCCATACTCATATCAAATAAAATAGATTTCAAGCCAAAGTTAATCAAAAGAGATAAAGAGGGACACTACATACTGCTTAAGGGAACCATACACCAACAAGACATAACAATCATAAATATTTATGCCCCAAACAATGGTGCAGCTATGTTCGTCAAACAAACTCTTCTCAAGTTCAAGAGTCTAATAGACCACCACACCATAATCATGGGAGACTTCAACACACCTCTCTCGCCACTGGACAGATCTTCCAAACAAAAGTTGAATAAGGAAACTATAGAACTCAATAACACTATTAATAACCTAGACCTAATTGACATATATAGAATATACCACCCAACATCAAGCAGTTACACTTTTTTCTCAGCAGCACATGGATCCTTCTCAAAAATAGATCATATATTATGTCACAGGGCAACTCTTAGACAATATAAAGGAGTAGAGATATTACCATGCATCTTATCTGATCATAATGGAATGAAACTGAAAATCAACGATAAAAGAAGGAAGGAAAAAGCATACATCAATTGGAGAATGAACAATAGGTTACTGAATGATCAATGGGTTATAGAAGACATCAAGGAGGAAATTAAAAAATTCTTAGAGATAAATGAAAACACAGACACAACATATCGGAATCTATGGGACACATTGAAAGCAGTTCTAAGAGGAAAATTCATTGCTTGGAGTTCATTCCTTAAAAAAAGAAAAAACCAACAAATAAATGATCTCATACTTCATCTCAAAATCCTTGAAAAAGAAGAGCAAAACAACAGCAAAAGAAGTAGAAGGCAAGAAATAATTAAAATCAGAGCTGAAATTAATGAAATCGAAACAAAAGAAACAATTGAAAAAATTGACAAAACTAAAAGTTGGTTCTTTGAAAAAATAAACAAAATCGACAGACCCTTAGCGATGCTAGTGAAGAGAAGAAGAGAGAGAACTCAAATTACTAGCATACGGGATGAAAAAGGCAATATCACAACAGACACTTCAGAAATACAGAAGATAATCAAAAACTATTTTGAATCCTTATACTCCAATAAATTAGAAGATAGTGAAGGCATAGATAAATTTCTTAAGTCATATGATCTGCCCAGATTGAGTCAGGAGGATATAGAAAACCTAAACAGACCAATATCAATTGAGGAGATAGAAGAAACCATCAAAAGACTACCAACTAAGAAAAGCCCAGGTCCCGATGGGTATACAGCAGAATTTTACAAAACCTTTAAAGAAGAACTAATACCAATACTTTTCAAGCTACTTCAGGAAATAGAAAAGGAGGGAGAACTTCCAAATTCATTCTATGAGGCCAACATCACCCTGATACCTAAACCAGACAAAGACACTTCAAAGAAAGAAAACTACAGACCAATATCTCTAATGAACCTAGATGCAAAAATCCTCAATAAAATTCTGGCGAATCGGATACAAAAACATATAAAAAAAATTGTACACCATGATCAAGTAGGATTCATCCCTGGGATGCAAGGCTGGTTCAATATACGGAAATCAATAAATGTTATTCACCACATCAATAGACTTAAAAATAAGAACCATATGATCATCTCGATAGATGCGGAAAAAGCATTTGACAAAGTACAGCATCCCTTTATGTTCAAAACTCTAGAAAAACTAGGGATAACAGGAACATACCTCAATATTGTAAAAGCAATCTATGCTAAGCCTCAGGCTAGCATTATTCTGAATGGAGAAAAACTGAAGGCATTCCCTCTAAAATCTGGAACAAGACAGGGATGCCCTCTCTCTCCACTTCTATTCAACATAGTTCTCGAAACACTGGCCAGAGCAATTAGACAGACGAAAGAAATTAAAGGCATAAAAATAGGAAAAGAAGAAATTAAATTATCACTATTTGCAGATGATATGATTCTATATCTAGCAGACCCAAAAGGCTCTACAAAGAAACTATTAGAGCTAATAAATGAATTCAGCAAAGTGGCAGGATTTAAAATCAACACGCATAAATCAAAGGCATTCCTGTATATCAGCGACAAATCCTCTGAAATGGAAATGAGGACAACCACTCCATTCAAAATATCTTCAAAAAAAATAAAATACTTGGGAATCAACCTAACAAAAGAGGTGAAAGACTTATACAATGAAAACTACAGAACCCTAAAGAGAGAAATAGAAGAAGATCTTAGAAGATGGAAAAATATACCCTGTTCATGGATAGGCAGAACTAACATCATCAAAATGGCGATATTACCAAAAGTTCTCTATAGGTTTAATGCAATGCCAATCAAAATCCCAACGGCATTTCTTGTAGAAATAGAGAAAGCAATCATGAAATTCATATGGAAAAATAAAAGACCCAGAATAGCAAAAACAATGCTAAGCAAGAAGTGTGAATCAGGCGGTATAGCAATACCAGACTTCAAACTATACTACAGAGCAATAGTAACAAAAACAGCATGGTACTGGTACCAAAACAGGCGTGTGGACCAATGGTACAGAATAGAGGACACAGAAACCAATCCACAAAACTACAACTATCTTATATTTGATAAAGGGGCTAAAAGCATGCAATGGAGGAAGGATAGCATCTTCAACAAATGGTGCTGGGAAAACTGGAAATCCATATGCAACAAAATGAAACTGAATCCCTTTCTCTCGCCATGCACAAAAGTAAATTCAAAATGGATCAAGGAGCTTGATATCAAATCAGAGACACGCCGTCTGATAGAAGAAAAAGTTGGCTACGATCTACATACTATGGGGTCGGGCTCCAAATTCCTCAATAGGACACCCATAGCACAAAAGTTAATAACTAGAATCAACAAATGGGACTTACTCAAACTAAAAAGTTTTTTCTCAGCAAAAGAAACAATAAGAGAGGTAAATAGGGAGCCTACACCCTGGGAACAAATCTTTACTCCTCACACTTCAGATAGAGCCCTAATATCCAGAGTATACAAAGAACTCAAAAAATTAGACAATAAGAGAACAAACAACCCAATCAACAAATGGGCCAAGGACCTGAACAGACACTTCACAGAGGAGGACATACAGTCAATCAACAAGTACATGAAAAAATGCTCAACATCTCTAGCTGTCAGAGAAATGCAAATCAAAACCACCCTAAGATACCATCTCACTCCAGTAAGATTGGCAGCCATTAGGAAGTCAAACAACAACAAGTGCTGGCGAGGATGTGGGGAAAAGGGTACACTTGTACATTGCTGGTGGGACTGCAGATTGGTGCAGCCAATTTGGAAAGCAGTATGGAGATTTCTTGGAAAGCTGGGAATGGAGCCACCATTTGACCCAGCTATTCCCCTTCTTGGTCTATTCCCTAAAGACCTAAAAAGAGCATGCTACAGGGACACTGCTACATCGATGTTCATAGCAGCACAGTTCACAATAGCAAGACTGTGGAACCAACCTAGATGCCCTTCAATAGACGAATGGATAAAAAAAATGTGGCATTTATACACAATGGAGTATTACTCTGCATTAAAAAATGACAAAATCATAGAATTTACAGGGAAATGGATGGCATTAGAGCAGATTATGCTAAGTGAAGCTAGCCAATCCCTAAAAAACAAATGCCAAATGTCTTCTTTGATATAAGGAAAGTAACTAAGAACAGAGTAGGGACGAAGAACAGGAGAAGAAGATTAACATTTAACAGGGATGAGAGGTGGGAGGGAAAGGGAGAGAGAAGGTAAATTGCACGGTAATGGAAGGAGACCCTCAGGGTTATACAGTGGAGGGGGTAGAGAGAGAGGAGGGGAGGGGAGGGGAGAGGTGGGGAGGGGGGAGGGTGGATGATGGGAAAGGCAGCGGAGCACAACAGACACTAGTATGGCAATTTGTAAATCAATGGATGTGTAACTGATGTGAATCTGCAATCTGTGTATGGGGTGAAGGTGGGAGTTCATAACCCACTAGAATCAAAGTGTGGAATATGATATGTCAAGAAATTTGTAATGTTTTGAACAACCCACAATAAAAAATTAAAAAAAAATAAAAAAATAAAAAAATAAACACCAGCCAAGTCCTGATTCTCATCAATATACTTTGAAAAAGGATGGGAACACAGCATCAAAGGATGGAACTTGCTGGGGCCAGTGCTACACATTCCTGGGTTACATTATATGAGACTTTATTAGGGTTCAAGGCTGTGTTACTGTAACTCAAGAAATATTAAATGTAACCAAATCATCATCCTCGTAGAGAAGTGGCTGAGGGTAGACTTCAAGGAACATCTGTGGCTATGTCCAGAGGAACCTCAGGCTCTGCCTCAAGCATATTAAGGAGACTCATCAGAGGTCCAAAGTTCCCCACCTCCAGCTCAATACATGGTATGTGGAAGTGCTCCCAAGGATCTGGAGGGCTCAATTGAATTGAATGAATTAAGAGAAAGAGTTGTAGGGTGTGGGTAATTTTCTAGAACTGAAAGCCTCTCTATTCTTTTTTTTTTGTGTGTACTGGGGATTGAACCCCAGGAGGCTTTACCACTGAGCTACATCCCCAGCTCTTTTTTATTTTTTATTTTAGGACAGGTTTTCACTAAGTGCTAGGACCTTGCTAAGTTGCTGAGGCTGGCCTTGAATATGTAATCCTCCTGCCTCAGCCTCCTGGGTCACTTGGACTACAGGTGTCCGCCACTGTGCCCGGCTCTGTACCTATCTTTTACACCATGTTTTCTGTCATCTGAAACTAGTTTGACCTGGTCTTGAGCAAGAAGGCTTTGGGAGCACATCGTCGACAGTGCCTGGGAGAGACCTTCTCCCAAGGTAGGGGAGGCTGACCGATGGAGAGCAAGGCCAGGGCAGGTTCAAGCCAATAAGGCCCAGGAAACCTTCACAATCATTTCTCCAGAGCCTTTCAGTTTAGTTCGAAGATCCATTTATAGATTTGGGTCGGGCTGAATGATTTAGTTGGTCGACCTGTATGAACCAAAGAAACTGCCCCCCAGAACCGTTAAGGTAGTGTTTGAAACTTTATTCATTAAAGATTCTCTCTCTTTCCTTCCTTCCACTTGAGACTCAGTGAACCAGGTCTAAGCAGCCCTCACACACTGGTCTGTTTGGGGAACTGCGCTGTAAGGAGGAGACCTGCAGAGCGGCTTGGTGGTTACTGAGGCTGAGCGAAGCTGGGGTGTCTGACGCAAGAACAGGGCAGGGACCCTGGCAAAGGCAAGAGAAGGACACTAACCTGATTTCGTCCTGTGCCAGTGGAAAAACAGCAGGGCCCCAAGCAGGAAAAGAAAGCTGAGCAGTCCCCCAGCGGCTCCTCCGGCGATGAGGGCATTTCTGTTGCTGGGAATCACTAAGGGGAGAGAGGCTGTGTGAGTCGGGGCAGGAGAGGCTCAGGGTTTGGAATCACCACGCATTCCAATCCTGGAAACTCTCTTGAGCTTGTCTGGGAGGGGGAGAGGGACGAGAAATTATGGGTCTAAAAAGTGGGGTGGGGGAGAGAAATTTTGGGCCAAGACAAGGCCAGAAAAATTCACCCTGTGTGGTCCAGGGAGGAGTAACCCAGAAAATATGGAATTTTTCCATATTTCCATACACAACAAAGTGAGTTGTTGGACGTTTCTGATTTTTCCTTAGGGTCCACTCTCCTACCCTGTCATCCACAGCGAGAGAGATTTCACTCAATTCTTCCACTCACCCAACGAACATGCCCAGCACACGCCAGGCACTGATCTAAACCTTGAAGATACAGCAGTGAAAAATGATAGAAAAGGTCCCGCCTTCTTGGACCTGTGGTCTAGTGAGGGAGACAGACAATGAACAAATTTATAAAGGCCACAGAACTAATGTAGGATGGAAGGACAGGAGTGGGTGGGGCTTTTCACACAGATTCTAGGTCCCTGGGGAAGTCAGCTTCAGACATGACAAGTGTCTCAGATTCAAACAGAGGACACCTGATGTCAGAACAATAGCAATGCTAATGGTAATTTCCAATTATTTCATTTATGATTCTTGGAACAAAATAAATGGCTGGCGGCCAGTGAGGGAAATTTCTGTCTCTATTTTTCCATCCTGACAAATCTAACAAACCTGCCATTGGACCCATGAGTGGTTCCGTCTACAAGCAGGGTTCAGCGGGCAGCCAGCCCAGCCTCCTCATCCTGACCGCTAAAGATGGTTGGAGAGTGGAAGAAAGAATCTTTCCTCATTTGCCTTCCAGGGCATCTTCTTGAGCAAAACCAGAATCAACCATACCCAGGCCTGGGATTTCAGATTTAATGGGTAGAAAGCAAATTATCCCTCCTTTCTGGTAACCCAGTTTCCTAGAAGAAATGGCTACTCTTGAGGATGTAGTTGAAATTTGTCTTAGAAAGGCACAGGATTCTAAAACCAGATTATTGGGTTAGGATTCCAGCTTTTCCATTTACCAACTGTGTGGCCAGGGAATATAATTTAATCTTTCTGGACTTCTGTTTTCTCCTTTGAAAAATGGGGACCATAACATCTATTTACTGTTGTTGGCGGATTAAGTGAGTTAATATTGTTCAGTGCTTTGAACAAACAGTGCCGACAATGTAAGTGCTATGTCTACCTCAGTATTAGCTCTTAACCCCACAGGTTAAGCTTGCTCCCCTGTAGCACCACAGCAGCCAACCTCAATCCTTGCAGTATGTCCCCTCAAAGTTCATAGGTTGAAGCTCTAACCCCAAGGTGGTCATATTTGAACATGGGCCTTTGGAAGGTAGTTAACTTCAATGAAGTCATGTGGGTGGGGAGCCTCATGATGAATTAAAACCTTTCTAAGAAGAGGCATTAGAAAACTTGCTCTTGTCTCTCTCCCTCCCTCCCTCCCTCCCTCCCTCTTTCTTTGCCACGTGAGGACACAGCAAGAAGGCAGCCATCTGCAAATCAGCAATAGAATCCTCACCAGAACCCAACCCTATCGATGCCCTCATTTCAAACTTCCAGCCTCTAAACCAGTGAGAAAATAACTTTCTGTGGTTTAAGTCACTTATGACGAGATGTTGAGTAGTAAGATCTGAACCCAGGGCCTCATGCATGTTGGCTACTTACCACACAGCCAGTAGAAAAGCTACACTGAGCTACAACACCAGCCTCAGTGGATGGAATTTTATTATGGTGACCTGAGCTGCCCCCAGACAGCCTACCTTAAGCCTACTGCAGAATTAATGTCTTGTTATAAATTTGCCCATTTATGAGCACAGAGATATTTGCATTAGGTCCACAAATTTAGAAGGAAACCTCACTCCATCGAACATCAACTGCATCCTTGCCGTCTGTCTAACTCTCTGAGATGATGTTTCCCTAGTATATGAAAAAGTAGCCAAGCCCACATATGCAGGGAAGCTGAGAGAGGAAAATGAAATTACACGTGTGAAGTGACCAGCTCACTCCCTGGAGCAGAGAAGCCTAATCCATCCCATTACCTTAACCCCCCAAGCAAGAAGAGTAATTTTACACTCAAGTGTCAGTCTCCAATAGATTGACTTCAACCCTCCACAGGGGTCATAACCTCAGCTCCCTGGGCAAACTTTTCAGGACAGGTGGCTTCCTGGAGAAGTGGCACCTCCTGCCTTCAGAGCCACTCTGGATTTCAGGGTACCTAGGAGTCTTTAGAGTGTGATCTGGTGGCTTTCAGTTTTCCTAACCTCTTTCCCTTCTCCCAAGCTGATTCTTGAAATGCCACCTACTCCATCTCAGTCCTTTTCTGCCAGGAATTGCACCCGGTGTTTCACGTCCCGAAGCTGTTCTAAGACGGAGATGCAGCTCCTTCTGTTCTGGGAAGACATCAGTCCCCTACCTGGGAGGACCCCTGCTTTATCTCAGGACTTGCCTCAAGGGAGTTGCAGAGAAAACTGAGTAGCAGCTGGGCCATTAGCACAGCCACCCTTCCCCCAGCCTCTGTCTAAACTGTTCGGGTTCATGGCTCTGACTGTCAGAGCTGACTGCTTATGGAGCATGGCTGACAGTGTAGGAACTCGACAGCGTGGCCTCGGGAGAACGTTGATGTTGCTGTCGTCTCTCTGACAGCAGAGGTTCAAATCTGGGCTGCCATGTATAAACCCTGTGACTATGCACACGACAAGACCTCTCTGAGCTCCACCTTCCCTGTCGGTAGAATGCAGATGGTCATGTCTTTATTTTCTAGGACTCTTAGTACAATCAACAGAGAGGATGGATGAGAAATTCATTCATTCAGCAAGCATTTATGGAATGGCTGAGTTACGCCGGCACTGTTTCCGGCATCGGGGATACTATAATGGTCGGAACATGGATCTGCTGTCCTGAGGCTAAGGCTAGAGGAGGGGAGAGGACAGCAAAGAAGCGCATGATAGTTGGTGATGAGCATGTCGGGGGAGACTCAAGAGGGACTGGAGGAGGGAGTGCTGCGGTGAAGGGCTCCATGTTATAAAGGATGGTGGGGGAAGGACTCCTTGAGAAGAACAGAGCCCTGGAACAAATGAGGGAGCGAGCCGAGGATATCAAGGAAGAGCATTGCGCAAGGCCTGGGGGGTGGTGTTCCTGGAAAATCTGAGGAAGAAACAGAGGGTCAGACTTTTTTAGCTAGAAGGTCTAGCTATAGGCTGAGTTTGAGAGTCCTCAATACCTGGAAGTCATAAGTGCATTTAAAGCCATGAGACTGGGTGAGATGATGGAGAGTCTGGGCACAGAGTATCCGAGAACAGAGCCCCAGGAGGAGTCTCCAAAATGGACAAGTTGGAAATATGATGAGGCTCTGAAAAGAAACCTAAAAGGAGTGCCCGATAAAAAGCCAAGAGTTGTGCCCCAGAAGTTAAGGACAGTATTTCAAGAAGGTGGGATCATTTGAGACAAGAGCTGGAGGAAGATCAAGTAAAATGGAAGCCGAGCTTTACCTGGCCTCAGCATTATGGAGGTCATTGGAGGTCATTGGTGACCTTTACAAGAGTAACTCAGTGGAGTGAGCCAAGCCTGAGAGAAGGATTTGAGAGAAATGGAAGAAGTGAGGAGAGCCAGTAGAGAGAACTCCTTTTGAGGAGTTTTACTGGAAAGGAAAGCAGGGACATCTAGTTTTCCAGTAGCTTCTCGATGGATGGACGATTTAGTGAATGCCTAGGGAGGCACTGAACCCAGGGTGGGAGAGGAGCTGAAGCCCAGGAGAAACCACATCCTTAGTGCCGAGTGTTGACTGAGAACATGGCTTGGCCCACTGTGGCTTCTTGGGCACACAAGAGGGCATGAACTAGACCTGGAGGATCCCAAAGCAAGGCTTGTCTGCCTAGGGGACAAAGCTGGGCTCTGGATCTGCTCACCGTACTTAGGCGTTTCCTGCATGTAATTGTGAAGCTGGGAATCCCTCAGGCCTGCAGTACGAAGCAGAGGGCTGCCTTATGCCTTTGGTTCTGTCCACCTCGAGGACACGGATCGGATGTGCAATGAATCATTTACTGAAAGGAGAGGTATAGGTGACACTTAGGTGACAGAGCTACAACGCTGCTAATGAGGTAAGGCTACTCTTTGAGATCAGCGCACAGAGGATCAGAGAACAGACACACAAAATCAGCTCCAAGAGGCAAAGATGGCTTCCGGCCAGCTTTACCTCACTGTATTACTTTCCACTGACCGGACTGGTTTGTTAACATTCTGATGGAAAGAGATTGTCTGTCATGGGGAGGATGGAAAAAGAAGTCGGGTAAAGATGAGTCAGAAAGTTAATGTTGGGTAGGCCCACTCCTAGTTTGAGGAAATATGCGCAGAAGAAAGAGGGTCAGTGGTGATGAAGACTCACCCCTCACAGTGACGTTCACCACCTGGCTCTGCACGGGGCCGTAGCTGTTGTCTGCTGTGCAGTAGAATCCCCCGCCGTGGCTCCCCCGGACGACTGGGATCTCCAGCTCTGCTCTCTGGGAACGCTGAGTCTTCCTCCCCAGACTCTCCGTCGTGTTCTCTCTGTGCCAGGAGAATGTGGTGACCCCTGTGCCTTCAGCCACGGAGCAGACAAGGACCAGCATCTCCCCCTCAATTGCCTGGCCTCCTGGGGGCTGGGTCTCCAAGGAGACCTGAGACACAGGGACCCCTGCGGGAACAGGAGCAGAAGCTGAGGGCCAGGTGTGGGGAAGGCAGGACTGGTTTCAGACAGAGTCACTTTTCACGTGACTTTAGGTGTCCTCCTTAGAGGATACTAGTGCTGTGATCAATGGACTATGGATTTTGAATCTAGGACATCACTAAATGTGCTAACCTTTCCGGCCTAACACACAAAGCCCCACGAGAGAAAAATCGACCATTCCTCGAGAAGCATTTGAGCTCTGTCTGACCTAGCTGGTGGTCTGAATTGTTTCGAGAGATAGGTAATAGAAATAGTGGTTGTTATGGGACTAAGCTGGACCACACCTGATTCCTGAAGCCCTACGTTGGTACCTAAGACAAGATGATATTTTTCTTTTTGGGCTGATTGACAATTTTTATTTAATATCAGGGAAAAAAAATAGGCCACCATGTAAGGGACATACAAGTTTTTGGTCCCTTAAGAAGAAAATTTCTTTGAGAAGGCCATGTTTAATGAAACTGGCCCTCTCATTTCTGGGTACAGTGGTGCATGCCTGTAATCCCAGAAACTTAGGAGGCTGATGCAGGAGGGTTGCAAGTTCTAGGCCAGACTGGGAAACTTAGCAAGACACTGCCTTAGAAACAAACAAAAGAACAACTATAACAACAACAACAACAACAAAAACCTAGCCGTTTTTTCATTCTGGCTTTACTAACTCTTCTAATGAAATATAAGTCCAATTCCAATCACCTGTAAACATAGACAAGATGGTATTTAGTGTATTTACCTTTATATGTCTCCCTCACCTCTGCGGCACACCTCACAGACAGTATATTGTTTTTGCTATTGATTAGGAAGAGGTGGGTATTTGTCTTCTAAATAGTTTGCCCTGGGTTCTGGCATGCTGGATCTGCCAACTCAATAACAGGGAACCTCGTTTTCTTGTTTTTTAACCCCAGTTCTTGAATCTAACTCCAGGCATCAGCTCTATCACTCCAACATAAAAGAGTTTGAAAGGAAGACTAAGTTTTTGGGAAATGAAGGTAGAAATGAAATCCCCTATTTCTTTTATTATATAGTTCCTCGTTTCTGAGTTTAAGCCTGGTGGCCCTATCAGAATGACAAAACAAATCTCTTTTGGATAGTCCCTATACCCACGGGCCAGAAGGAGCCCAGAGACGTGGGAAAGATGCCTCAGTCCCACCCAGCCCCCTGGCTCTGCCTACTTACTCTGTACGAGGATCTCCCAGGAGGAGCTGAGCTTCTGGATGCTGCTTGTCACAGTTGCAGCCCCACATCTATACCGTCCCGAGTCTTCTCTCCAGATGGTGGGGATCTGGAGCCCTGAGAAGTTGCTCCAACTTGACAGGACGATTCTGTCATCTCTGAAGAAGATGAAGTGAAGAGGGGTGTCCAATCTCTCTGGAGGAAGATGCGTTTCACAGCTCAGGTTTACAGAGTTCCCTTCGGTAGGCTGAAGGGCTGTGACTTTCAGGTTCGGACGTGGAAATAATTCTGGAGAGAAAAGGAAGATCAAGTTCTGAGCACGAGGGTATTTAGCACTCTGGGAGGAACAGGCTTGGATTCTCTGTCCCCGGAAACTTCAGACATACAAGATTAAATATATCAAGCTCTCGATTATGTTTTTCTTTCCTAGGACAATTCAAGTCCAATCACTCCACTTTCTCTGCCTCCTGGAGGGACTCATAAGTCTCCAGTATTCAGGGTTCCAATATTCACCTATAAATCCCTCCTGACAGGCCCAGTTTCTCCACCCTGACATTACTAAATGAATCTATATGAAATGAAGGATTTACCTTTAATTCCAATATATTCGGTAGCTGACTTATCTGCCAATTTTTGGTTCCTAAATCCAATGCATTGATAAAAGCCACTGTTATTTAAACCTGCTCTTGGGATAAAAAGATCCAAGCTTTTGTTAGAAACGAGAAGGACTTTTCCATTCCAAGTGTATTTCACGGAGGTCAGTTTCTCTTTTCCCCTTTGCTGGCATCTCAGAACCAATATGTCTCCTTCAAACACAGAATAAGGAGCCTGTAGGATTAAGGAGCCTGGAAACAACACAGAGATAAGATACCATCACTCAGGACACTACCTCCTTTCCCCCTGCCCCTTCAATTACAAAGGCTTTATTGTTTTCTTTCTGCCCCCATCAGAAGTTAATCTCCTGACCAAAGTCTATTCATTTCCTCCCAACTCAGTGAGGCATACTTCAGATACAACTCCTAAACAAATTCTAAACACATTTATTCAATCATTTAAGGACAGATTCAAAATGTAAGGACTTTAATATGGAGAAGAAAAGCCAAAGAAGGTGTGATCAAAATCTCTGACATCATATAATAGAGCAAAAATCAACACCAGTCTGCTCACTGAATCTCTGAGCAGGTGCTATCAAAGAGGAATCCTTTGGAGAAATATGCAAGGAATCATGGCAGTGCATTGGGGGATGCTAGAGAGAAGAATTATTTTCAGAGACACAAGTTTAGGTTCAATTGAATGTAAATGTGGTCCTCTCTGGAAATTTTCCTGCTGTGCAGGCTGTGACTTGAGGTTAGCTGTATCAATTCCGTCTTAGATCCTGAATACCTCCTCCTAGAGAACCCCATCTGTGAAGGGGATCCAGAACATTATGTCTAAGTGAGGTAAAATTGCACGGGAAGGGATATGGGCATTTTGCAAATTGGAGATGAAAAATAGAAAGGAAGAAGGGACAGATACCAGGACAGGCAGGGATGAAAGGCCAGAGGTTTGAAATTTCTGACTTTCTCCTTCATGCTCAGCATGTTCGTGTGTGTGATTTCTCCCCTGTGAGGCTGTGAAGTTCCACAGTGTAGCATCTCAGACAGCTTCCTCTTTCTAGTGACTAAAACAAACGAATTTCCTGGACTATGTAAATGTGTGAGAATGTATGCTGATTAATATTAAGCATTTCAACTCGAATTTAAGTGAAAAACATTTGCAGACAACGAGGAAGAGTGTAAAACTGAAAGCAGCTGAGGCTGAGGGAGAGAGAGGAAGGAAGGACCCCAGTGCTTAAAAACTGCAGAGAGCTACAATCTTAACCAATTCACCTTCTCTCTCACCTGTAGAAAAGGTCAAGGATACAGGGTTACTTAGAAGTGAGCCCTGGACCTTGCATCTGTAAGTTCCCGATTCACGGACTTGCAGGGTATCTCCTGGGGTTTCTCTTCTTGTTATGTATCCATTTTTCCCGTACCATTCTGTTTTCTCTGGTGCATGGAAATGAAATCTATTGCAAGTCAGATTCACTGTCTCTCCTTTAAAAACTGTGGTCCATGGAGGTTGGAGGGAAATCACAGGTCTGGGTGCAGCTGCTGAGAAGAAGAGAAATGAGTCTGAGGTGGTGGTCCCTGCAATCCCTGCCACGGAGGTTCCTGTGGGGACGACAGGAGGACCTGGATTTGAAGAATCCCCTGGGTCCTGGGGAGGGCTTCTGCTTCCCCAAATTGCAGTTTCTCCAGTTAGGCTCACCTTAGTGCCAGGTGCCGTGGCTGCTCTGGGGTTTCCAGGAGCAGATTGACCTTTCAGAGGGCAACCCCAGCGGGATCCATTCATGATTGATCAATGATGGGAGGTTTACAAATCCTCTTACCTTCTCAGGTGAAGCAGATCTTCAGGGACATAATTGAGCATTGCATTTCTCCCGCATGTATTCCTTCCTCCAGGGAACTGCATGTTACAGTTCCTCTCTAAGATGAGTGTGTGTGTGTGTGTGTGTGTGTGTGTGTGTGAAGGGTACCAGCACATGCCATCCCCAAATATGTTTCTTTTGTATATGAATTATTTTTAACCAAAAGACCATTGGGAACTACCAGAAAAAAAGGAAAACTCTAAAAATAGGGCATATATTTTCTTTTCCTAAAGAAAATTTGCTTTGATAAAGGCATATCCTTCTGTCGGACCTTCTCAGTAGAGAAGATATTGGCTTAGATCTGCACAACAAATCATACTAAACAACCCTTGTTACCATGCTTTTCCTTGTCACCGCCCAGAACTTGATTCTCCCTCTCCCAGAATCCCCAAACCCCTCAACATTGTTTAGCTTAAGATGATATGTAAACCTCGATTATCTGCCTGCCTCCTTGAGCCACATTTGACTTTGTGATCTCCCATGTGTACATGTGTAATTAAAGCTTACTTTTTCTCCTGTTAATCTTTTACCAGTTTGATTCATCAGCCCCAGCTAGTGAGCCTAAGATGAGATGAAGCAAAAATAATTGTTTTTCCCTCCCTTACATGCGGCATGAGCCTATATTGGGACTGGACTTAAAGATGGAAGAAATACAGAAATTTGGAGATTAATTATGCTGGTATTTAAAAAGTCCAAATCATATTTTTACTCATATTCTAACAAGGACTTAACTCTTCACTTCTGCCTGCAAATGTTTGATGGGTGGCTAAGAGCAAGATTAAAGACTTGGCATTCCCACCTCCATTTTACATCTATTCCCTTTGCTCCAAGTCACCTTTGATTCCAGGAATCTGATCCAGTAAACATCTTGTGATGAGTTGAAACTACCTGCCAGGCAACAGTAATTTTTTTTTTAACCTGACATGGTCAGACCTGACCAATCTTGAAATAATGAGATAATATGGAGACAGACCTCTCCTGATCAGGATCACCTGCTTTGGTATCTTTGCAAACTTTCTAGTTATGCAAACCCCCACCCGTGCCTTTGTTCTCTTCTTTCTTCTCCTCCTCCTCCTCTTTCTTCTTCTTCTTCTTTACTTTATGTGGTGCTGAGGATCAAACCTAGTGCCTCACAGGTACTAGGTAAATGCTCTGCCACTGAGCTACAGCCCCAGCCTCTCATTCTCTTCTTAAAAAAAAAACCCTCAAAGTCATTGTCAGTCTCTTGAAGATGGGGCTAAAGGGATGGACCACTTCTCTTCCCAGCACAGCTACACTGATTAAAATTCCTTTCATGCTTTCTATCATTTCCTTTTCTATTTGTTTTTAGGGTGAGTGGTTGGACCTCATTTTGGGGGTCTCCCGAGTCAGGCCTCTGGCCTAGGACTCAAGTAATAATATCAATGAGAAGCAGGTGTGGGAGAGGGGAGCAGGCTGCTGTCTGAGGTGTGAAGTATGTCTATACAGCTACAAAGGGTAAGACTGCAAGGAGACAGGTGCTCCCAACACTCTAAACCTCAAAGACACTCTCAGGGCGAGAAAATATTGACCTTGCATGAAACTGGACCCTGAGATCTTTGAAACATGGATGGACAGAGCTGGAGAATCCAGGGCAAAAACAAGTTAAAAAAAAAAAAAAGCATTAGCATTAGCTCCCTGTGGAAAATAAGGGAAGAGATTTCTGTTTTCTTTCAGAATTTCTTTTTCTGTCCCTTTTAAAAGTTTATAAATTTTATAATGGCTAAACAAGAGGCTGGCCAGTCTCCAAACCCAGGAAAGTCCTGGGTGCCATGTGTTATCCTTAAAAAAAAAAAGGTGGGGGACAGTAAAACATCATCCCCAGATGCCCCCTTCTTTTTCCAAAAGCTCAGCCAAGTCAAGGGAGCACTAACACCCTTGGGCTGCAAAGTGCAGATACCTACGATCTTAGAGGACCTGGCTTTCTCTTAAGCACACTGGAAACCAGGGAAATTTAGTGCCATCTGTCAAAAGCTCCTTTCTTCCGTATATGCTGGGAAAGTTGCTCCTTGATATGCTGCTCATACAGGCAAACTAAAGCCGCTGATGTCACTGCTGCTGCAACCTGATGTATAAAACCTCCCTCTGAGTAGGGACAGTTGTGGAACCGAGAGCCCCGTGGAAAGAATACAGATCATTCCCGAGCCAGGCACCACTGGACAAAACAGCAAGAGGGAGAGATGAAGGAGGCGCTTGCTTGAGGGAGGGGCTGTCTGTTCAGCCTATCACCACTGAACTCTTCTTGGAGCAGTCACTTATCCCTGCCCCCCAACCCCTGATACTGGTAATTAAACCCAGGGTGATTTACCACTGAATTAATCCACAGCCCTTTTTATTTTTTACTTTGAGATGGGATCTCACTACTTGCGGAGGCCGGCCTCAAACTTGCAAGGCTGCTGCCTCAGCCTCCTGAACTGTCACTGATCATAAGTCTCACATGCCATCTCTGGACATCTTCTTTGGCCTTTTCACAACCTGCCCTGCTACCCTGACACAACGGGGTCATGAACTTGACATGCTATCTTTTTGGTTTGGGGAAGATGGGCATATGGAAAGATGATCCTCTGTCTCCTGGTTTCTGTAGGAGGCTGAGTCTAACTTTGCTGGGCTCCCCCGACTCCAACATGCAAAACTACCTGTTGTTATAAAAATGTGAGAAGTTTGTTTCTCCTATGATAAAAAGCAATCCACTAACACAGGTGGTCCTCCCATTTATCATAGTTAAGATAAACTACGTGTCAGGTTATTTTATTGGAAGACCAATTATTATTTATGTTGAAAACACATATGTTTGGATTATCTGCTTGACTAAACAGATAATTCCTTTCTGTCTTTGCTCTTTTAGTGGTTTTCCTATGAGGTGCATTCCATTCTGGCTTAACACTTATTCAATAATAAAGTGTTTTCCTTTATCTATTACCACTTATAGAGAAGATTTCTTGGTTGGGAGGAGATTTTATTTTTAATGCTAATTCCCTGACAAGAAATTATTATTGAGGCTTCCTGTTTTTTTTTTGAAACTGAATGTTTATTTTCTGAGTCCTGTAGTTTTGAGGTGGTGAAGCTAACAACAAAATTATCCATTAATAGAAACATCCTTCCAGATGTAATGCTATTCTCTGGCTTGCTTAAAGCTGAGTGGCTTGGTAAGCTAATCTTTCAATGGGTATAAAGTGAAAATGGATCGCTATTGCAGATTGTGCCTAAGATGCAGTATTTCATGAAGTTGGAAAAGTTATGTGGAACCGCTTGTTCTGATGGCTGGCAACACAGAGGTGAAAAGCAGATCTGTTAACAATGAAAAAGGAGAAATGCATCACAAGGAAAGCAGTGGTCTGGTTCCTGGGGATGGGTCCCGATGCCCCCTCTAGACTGCTGCCCACCCGTGGGCTTGGAAAAGTGAAGCAGCTGGCTTTCCTCGCTACTCCATCCAGGTCTGGGGGGAAAGCTGTCAGAGGAATAAAACTAAAGGACACCAGGGACTGTGGGTTCCGGGGAAAGTCTGCCTTTATGCTGAAGGTAGGGAGGCACGTGGGAATCCTCTGACAGCTTCAGTCCCTCTGCTGCCTCTCACCCCTTCCTGTCTCCAACACAGCCACAATGCCACATTTGAAAACCCAATACTAGGTCCATGCTTCACTCTACATAGGACCTGTCATAGTCTAACTTCTGTGAAGTAGAAAATAAAACAAATTATAGTTGGATTATTTTGTTTTTCAAAAATAAAAAAAAAATCTCAATTTTGGGGTGCCGTTAATTACTGTTCAATTTGCAGTGGAATCGCTTTACATGGATTTTCGTCTTGTTACCTTTTCATGCTCAGATAAGGGGGAAGTGTCTAGAGTTAAGGGCTTATAAGCAATTGCTTTTTTAAAGCTTGAGATATTAAGTATTATTAACTTTTTTTTTTCCTAGAAGAACATCCCAAATAGGTCTTTTAATGATATCCAAATGTAACGAAAAGGACTTTCTTCTGTTTAGGGGGGAAATAACCTGTAAGGTCACTTGAATGCATGTTTTAGATGAAGAGGCTAAATGTTTCTGTTTGGTAATGTGAAACATTTGAGAGTTTTTGCAGACTTTGAAAAAAAATATTTCTAAGCCAGACATAGTGGCACACTCTTGTAATCCCAGGAGGCTGAGGCAGGAAGAGATAGAGTTCAAAACCAGCCTCAGCAACTCAGTGAGGCCCTATTTCAAAATCATAAAATAAAATAAAAGGGCTGGGATTGTAGCTCAGTGGTTAAGTTCCCCAAGGTTCATGCCCTGGTACAAAAAAGAAAAAATTCTCTAAAGGTAAGGTACCACGGACTGAAGTTGATCAAATTATGTAATATACATACAAATGCGCCATAATGAATTCCACTATGATGCACTGATAAAAAAATGATAAAATGTTTTCTCTTAAATATTTGGACAGAGTGCCCTGTGTGCTCAATGGGAATGTGTTGTGTTTCTCCTGAAGGGAATAGAAATGTTCTATTTCTATGGGACACTGGTCATGTTCCTAGGAAGCTTGGGGCAAGGGAATGGGGACTTGGGCAGCAGGTCCTTTCCTGGAAGGAAGGACGACCTTCCCTCCTTTGATGGGTTCAAATAGATTCTTCTTTGGTTGAGGTAAACTGCCCGTCTGGTGTGCCGTGGCCCGGTGACCAGGAGGAGATCCCTCGTCAGGGCCTTTGTGAGGTTTGGCACTGGGTCCTGAGATTAACCACACTCAGGGGCTGACATAAGACCTTCTGGTTTATTTCCTCATCCTAGATCCATTAGCAAGGTCTTGCTGAGTTATAATCCTGTCTCACTTTGACAGGGAAAAGGTTTGTGTCCATGACATCGTGAGGGAGAGCGACAGAGACAGTGTATACCTGGGGGGCTGTGGCTCCTGCTGGCTCAAGCAGGACAACCACCAGCGATTCCCAGGATGTGCTTGGAACACTTGAAGGAATCCCACGGTGGTTCCCCATAAAAACTGGATTTTCTATCAGGGTGCGGTGGTGCACACCTGTAACCCCAGTGACTTAGGAGGCTGAGGCAGGAGGATTGCCAGTTCAAAGCCAGCCTCAGCAACTTAGACCCTGTCTCAAAAAAGAAAAGAAAAGAAAAGAAAAAAAAAAAAAAAATATATATATATATATATATATATATTAAGGACTAAATTGTAGTTCAGTGGTACAGCATTTGTCTACAATCATAAACCTCTGGATTCAATCCCCAGCATAAAAGAAAGAAAAAAGAGAGAGAGAGAGAGAGAGAAAGGAAAGAAAGACAGTCTTGGCTTTCTGCTGAATAGCAGATGGATGGGAGCTCAGAGTTATCATGATTTGAGCTATTACTAGAAAAATGTGTCTACAGAAAGTTGGTTACACATGGGTAGGGACAGAGTTGGAGCTCCAGCCTCCCACTTTGTAATAATGGCTTTTAAAAATCTTTCCCTCTCAAAATTCTATGCATTCCAACATCAGCCCTGGCCAGAATCCCACATCAGGTGAGGTGATGCCTCCTCCTCCTGTGAACTCCGGTGACACGTGTCCCAGCCCTCCATATTCATCCAACAGGTGGCAGGTTTGGTTTGAGAAAGGTACTTCCAAATAGTCTAATGCTTAGCCTCAGAATCACCAGAACAACTAGTATTTTTATGTCCCTGCAGTGCTCAGAGAAGAAAGGAAGGAGACAATGTGGTCTTCTACAAGAGTTAGAGGCTAGTTATTAGAATATCTGGAGATAGGAAAGAGAAAAGAAACCGGGGACTTACCAAATTGTCCATGGACTGGAGCTGCAAGAGAGTAAAAAGCCAGGTATCAGCACAGGCAGGGTGTTCCCAACCATGTCTCCCTGAGGACCCGCATGCCACATTCTATTACAAAACAAGAGGAAGAGAAACACGTGCAGTTCCACGTAACATGGTGGCCAAAATCTCACGTTATGGACTCAGACAACCTGGTTTCCATTTTAGCCATGTAAACCCTGGGCAAACCACATAAACTTCCAAATCTCAGTTTCCTCTTTTGAAAAATGAGGACCATAAAAGTGACTTCGTGGTGTTATTATAATGAATTGAATTAGTAAGTCCTCAATTAATGGTTGCTGTCAATTTTTTTTTTTTTTTAAGTATGGGGCTACTGCTGATCTTGACTCCTGGAGTATTCTTCTCCTTCAGTACCAAGTTAAGTCAAGTCGCATCCACGCATTAGGGTCCAAAGGAAACCTTCCCTCCTCCATGAAGCCTTATCAGGTGTTTCGAGGCTGAAGCAAGCTCTCTCTTCTCTTGACTCAGGACGCTGACAATCAATAAGCTTATTGAAGCTCAGAACTGAACATACAGTATGGGGTGACGGTTAAATGCATAGTCTCCGAAGTCAGATGATGGGTTTGAATCCTGACACCACCACTAATTCTAGCTTCATGAATCTTAGTATTGAGACCACAGTTTCTGTGCCTTAGTTTCCTCATTTGTAAATGTGAGTTATAATAGTTCCAAGCTATGGATCGTTAAAGAATTGGATAAATTAATAACATGGGGATATTCCCAGAAGGGTGTCTGAGACATAGGGGTTAGCAAGAAGCAATTGTCATCATCATCCATCATCCTGTGACCCAGTATGTAATATTTCTCTGACATTGGCAGGTCAAAGGTTCTTGCATTGGAACTTTGATGTTCTAATCAGTGTCAGCTCTTGAGGGCAGAGGCTGTGATCTCCAGGCCTCTCTACTCTCTGAGGTGCTCCACTCTGTGCTGTGCTGACACCACCCATCATTTCTTTATTTGCTGATCCCATGAGGTGCATATCACACTAATAATAAATCTTCCCCAAGTTAGAGTCGGGGGATCCAAGTTGGAGCAAGACAAACACACTTAACAAATACACAAGACTGACTTTTTAAATTCCCTAGTGTGAATTACTAGGAATTCAGTGTCTCATGTGGACAAATATTGTCAAATAACACAGAAGCAGGGGCAGGGGTCAGGGCAGTCCAAGGGAAACCATTTTATTTTTTTCTCTTCTCATGGTTTGATTGCAGGATACAGAGAAGGAAATAGCTATTCTCAGCAAAGCATCAATTGCCTCAGCTCACAATTAGGATATATATGGTCCTTAGAATCTCAGATTGTATTTTTCTCTGAGTTTTCATGAGCTGCATGGGGTGGCGGGGGGTGGGGGGTAACCAAATCTAGATATTTTGTTTGTTTGTTTGTTTGTTTGTTTGTTTTCATTTGAAAACAAAAATGGGGAGGAATTTCCCACAGGCAACTAAAAGCCAAAGTGGATGAAGATCACATCTCTGGATATCAATTTCTGTTTATTTCCCTCATAGCATTAAATCAATACCTTCCTTTTTGCTCATTTTCTGCAGTTTTCACTAGCCAGGAGAGGGGGCCCTTTGCTTGGGAGGAGGCTCAGGCCAGGCTCCTGTTCATTACTCACCAAGGACCAGCAGGGACACCCACAGCAGCATGGAGTCCTGCCCCAACAGCTGGATGAGGAGCAGATCTCAGGAGACACGCCAGGTCAGCCCAGACTGTCAAAGCAGCATGTATCCACACTGTGCGCTCCCAGAAGCGAGTTCAGGAGTTCAGCGTGTATCCACACTGTGCGCTCCCAGAAGCGAGTTCAGGAGTTCAGCGTGTTTCCACTCTGTGCGCTCACAGAAGCGAGTTCAGGAGTGGTTCTCTGAGTAGAGCTAGTTGCATAATGAAGTGAAAACCAGAAGTGGAGCGATCTTTCTTAAAATACCATGTTGCCCAGTGCAAGAGAACCCAGAAAGTGAAAGTCAGTATTTGACAGGAGGATTGAAGCTTTGCTCCGACATCTTGGTGTGAGGAGTTTGCTGTCACTCACATCCTGGTAGGGGGCGTTTCTCCAGCTGCAGCTGTCACATTTCCAAAACTTTCTGGCTCTGTCTTTCCAGGAGATAGATCACAGGTGGATCCTCTCTGATACCAGAAACCAGGCAAGACCGAAGTCCTCCTGAGGTTCACATAATCCAAGGATGTACCTGAAACATGGAGAACATTCCATTTGATCAGAAATGCACTCCCCTGACCCTTACTGCCTCTGCTGCCCCACCCCCTTCAGCTGGCTGTCTAGACACATAATGAATTTCTTAGTCACAAGACAACTCAGACCTCTAACATATATGAAAATATCCTGACTCATCTCTCCCAGGGGAAGCCACAACCTGTGATCTGAGTAAGAGATGAACTGAAAAGGAAATTCACCCCCATCTTGCTCTTCTTAGATAACGAGACTGTCAATTTCCACTTAAGGTCCTAGAATCTGAGATTTGCTACAGGAATATCTTGACCGATACGTTGTTTATTTAAGTGTATTCTAGCTATAGTGCCAGGTGCCGGGAGCATAGTAGAAATCTGGACTCAACAAGCTTTTTATTCTAGTGGGGGAGACAGACTGTCAATAGGGAATGAGACACAGAGAGAAAGTGCTCTGATGGGAGGGAAATTGACTTGGGATGGGGACTCAGGAGAGCCTTCCTAGTGGAAGTGGCATTCAACTTGAAGGCATGTCATTCTCCAACAGGGAGTTAGCATGGGTGAAGGAGGAAGGCAGTCACCATCACCATTACCATCATCCTACATGTCTCCAAATAAATGACCCTTGGCCTTCTTGTAAGGAAGAATAATGGACCTAGAAGCAAATGAGGAGCACTCTGTATTTTTCTAATAGAACTATGAAATTATAGCCATATATACTGTCACACACATACGTATACACATACATTTTTACTCTTGCCCTGACCCCTTTCAGAAAAAGCTAGGGAGGCACATAACACTTATAGGAAATCGAAGAGGTGATACTGATTTTCCATGAACTTCATTTAATGGGGCAACTGACTTTCTTACTACTTTACTTCCGTTGGCTAAAAGATAAGTTTTGAAAAAGGATCACCAAAATAAAACATTTAAAACTATAACCTTCATTAGATTTTATGATTTACCAAATCAGGTAATTTATTGGAAAACTGAATATAAAAGAACTTAAAATTTTAGAGACTAAAGTAAAATCACCAGTTCACCAGGACACAACATTAAACTGTGCATTAAATGACTTCTGAATGCTGTCTGTGACAACCCATTTTTAGCTTGAACTGCACACCACAAAAAATATTTAACAAAAAGCCCATTTTAGAAAGGCCTATTTTAAAAAATTACACTGGAGGGTCCTCTTTACT